TTAATGAGACTTTTATAAATATGGTTGCTTGGTTCTTTGTTAATGTCTGATTTCATTATACAATCCGTATCTGCCTTAAACAACATATATTTTCTATATATATGAAGTTGGATATTCTTTCGGCCATAGTAGGGAGTTGAACCTGACCTACCTAACCTAATTCTGAATATATTCCGGTTTAAAAATTATGATCTTATAAATATTTATAATATTTAATAATGTATGTACATATGTTTCATTTTCGTTTGCTAAATATACAATATACAGACACGGAGATGGAGTTAATTTTATAGATTTCACAGATAAATTACATAACATATCTTTTTTTTAATCTTATCAGATAAATGACAATAATATGTGAAAACAATATACATACATAGACAACCTACAAAAACATGTCTTATTTTAAAATAAAGAAACCAAAAATAATGGAAGTGGCCATTTCTTTTATTACTCTAACTTTTCTTGGAAAAAGAGATCGAAGCTGTACGCAATATACATATATCGACCGGGACAAGGTATCACTGTACTACGCGCAGGATTGCGTCTGGCTGAATAACTGTTTTTACTTAGTCATTTTATATATCAAGTAAAAAAAATTGTGATTTCATTTTCATAACAATACATATTATTTAATACTTTAATTCAGGCCATTGGTTCATGTTTTGTGAATTAGTAACAAATATATCAATCTGAATATACGACACCGGTCTACCTTTTTTGATACATCTTTGAATGTTTGTGATCAGAGTCTGGCGTCTGAGAAAATTCTTGTATAAAAAGCAGAACTTAAAATTAATTTATATATTATTAATAATATATAATAATCTTACTTTATGCCTGTTTCAAATGAAATAATTAATATAATATTTTGAACTTATATTTAGTCACCAAAACAGTTTTAACAAAGCTGTAAGTAACATTTCCCGGGTTAGAATCTTCTTTCCCAGAATTCCTTATTTTTCAAGGTCACGACATTTCATATAACAATGAACAAAATACAATTAACGCTAACTTCACGTTGAAACCTAAACTGGCTTGTTTTTCGATGTCGTGGTTTAAAGCGATGCCGTTCAGTTGTTGTCATTGTCAGTGGTTGTCATTAGGGTTGCATACAGAGCTCATGGTTGGTCGCCAGAAGTCACTTTATTTCTGTGAGTAGTATCTTCTTTATAAGATAACTGTTGACTGTGTGTGTACCTATTATTATTAAAACAAGTTGTACGAATACTTATAGTTATAATGCTTTGCTACCTGCACTAGGTATTCAAACAACGTGTTTGTTTAGTGAGGACGGAAATAGAAACTTGATTATCGTAATAATCCAAAACAATTTCCTTAACCTACATAGTAATAATAATTAAAAATCAATAATCTGAAAAAAACTGTAGATGCGGAAGCATTTCGAAACCCAATTCATGGAATTCTGTCATCGTTTTCATTGATACAGTGCATGTTATTATAATCTAACTTATCTTAGTTGGCCTTGTGCTGTCCAAGACAACTGTCGTATTACCGGGCTCTCCACTCAACCTGTCATAGCACAGAACTACAATTTTATGTTGTGGCGTCATTGTATATCTTAATATATATAAATTACGTGTCACATTGTTTGTCCGCTATGGACTCCTAAACTACCGAACCGATATCAATCAAATTTGCACACCGTGTGTAGTTTGATCCAACTTAAAAGATAGAATAATAGACAGCTTACATCTCAATTTATACCCGCAATATTATTTTATTGCAAAATATTTGTTTATTATTTGATAGTCACAATTCTAACAGATGTTACACGTTTCACATAAGCTACAATCTAATGGCATAACTACCAAAAAATCATGGTGGTCTCCATGACTGGTGTTCTCCTACCGTTTCCCTTGAATAGTTTTCTACTATGTAATATAACAAAAACCTTAGCCACAGCAACGCTTGGCCGGTCTGCTAGTATACTATACAAAGTAATGTAGATAGCAGTGTGTAGTATAAGTTCTGTGGTAACTTCAGTTAGAAATGCATCAGGACTCAGTGAACGCATTTTATTTGCTGCACTTCTAACACCATAACACATTTACATGGATAACTCGCCAAAATGCCGGAAATTTTATTGTTACGTCAAAATCTATTGCTAGTTAAACATATACGCATAACCTGAACACGCCGCATACTAAATATATTAAACGCCAGATAAGGCAAAAGAAGTATGACATTAGCGCTACCTGGAGGGTGAAACACCCGGAACTACAAAATTGTTCATCCGATATGTTAGAGCAGCCTTGCGATTCTGTAACTCACTCAAACACGCACAGCGTTTTTCGCAGCGGCGGTCGCGCTCAAATCAGTCGTGAAGCAGTGTGCGAATTCGAAAAGGGAGTTACAGAATCGCAAGGCTGCATTCAAGATAATAAAAGAGAAGCGTTTAGGTTTAAAGACATTTATTCTCATAACAGACAAGAGTCACTTACATGAGAACTTATATACTAAAGATACAATTTATCACGTCGTCATTGACGAGCTTCAAGGATCAATTAGCGAAGTAGAACTTGGGTGGACTTTCATTTACGTAGATAACTCACAGTGGGATCACTCAAGAGATGGTCTTTTAGTCTTAATTTAAATATTGCCAGGCTGTCTGCACTTTTCATATTTTGTGGAAGTGTATTATACCGCAGCAGTCCCCCAACGCTCAACGTTTTTTTTACCGTTATTGCTTCTAAACTTAGGTAGATTTTGAGATTAGATTGTGAGGTCGTCGGGAACTGTGCTTCTGATTTTGATTTATTTTAATGAAAGTAATATTAGTGTGTAATAGTCGCGAAAGTAATAGTCGCGATTCACACCCCAGATGGCGCAAATTCTTACAGGGCACGGAGCCTTTGCACATTACCTGCATAGGTTTAAAATTACGACAAGCCCAACATGTGCCTGCAATAATGGCGAAAAAACAGTAGAACATGTGCTTCTACATTGCCCTATATTCGCATCGTCCAGGCACGACCTGGAGCAAAAAATGCAGATGACTGTAGACCATAACGGCCTACAGGACATGTTATCAAAGCACAGACCGTGCCTGGAACGGTACTGCGAAAAAAAAATTAAATATATAAAGGCGTCAAACAAAACTGAAAGCGTGGGTCTGGCCAGGAATTGCGCCTAGGCTCGCCCATGAATATTGTAAATAAAAATATTAGCGATGTAGCTAGTGAGACGCGTAACGCGTCATTCGTGAACTAGTAATTAACTATTACTATTGTAATTAATATATTATATCTTTTTAGTAAAAATTTAAGAGATAGAAAGAGTTCCTGGACACAATGGCACTATATTTTTGAAGTTATACTTCTTTAGGCGAGTTATGAAAAATTGATGAGAGTGAAATTTTACGATGCACGCGCACCGTGACACAAAATTAACAGAATGAAGTTGCCCTCGGAAGATGCTACGGCATTGGACATAATTTAAAAACAACATTCGAATAATAATAGAATTTATGTTACACTTAATGTAAGAGAATAATAATAAATATCTATTTATTTAATTTTTCAAATGTAAACTGAACTTTATTGACTATAATGACTCCTTTTCCAGTCTTTTATTATTTCATTGTAATTAATTATTTGCATGCAATCAAAAACTATTTTTAATAATGCCAAAGAAGTATAACTTCTTACGCGCGTACAAAATAAAAATAAAATAAAATATGTTTATTATGGAACATAAGATACATGTATCACTTATTCCACGTCATTAAATTTGAAGGCATCCCTACTCATCGGCAAAGAAGACAGAGGGTGTAGGCCGAGAGAAAAAGCCGGCGTAAAAAACTCTCGGTACTCTTTTAAAACAGCAAATCATCAAACGACACTTATTTAAAACAAATATCGCAAATTAATTAGAAGCAGCCTATCTAGCACTAGTCCCAGGCCCTTTTATCAACTAGATAATCGTTGACTTTATAGTAAGCCTTTTTACACAGCTTATCTTTAATACATTTCTTAAATTTATTGAAAGGCAGTGATAAAAGAGCCTCTGGGATTTTATTAAAGAAGAGTATCCCTTTCCCCAAAAAAGAATTACTAACTTTAGATAGTCTAGTACGGGGAAATTGCAGCCTGCGTTTGTTCCGTGTATTAACATTGTGCGTATGTTCTATTCTAGTAAACTTATCACTATTTTTGTATACATACATAATATTTTCATAAATATATTGCGAGGGAAAGGTAAGTATATTAATTTCCTTGAATTTATCTCTAAAAGATTCCCTACATTTTAAATTATAGATTGCACGAATAGCCCTCTTCTGCAGGATGAAAATAGTTTCGACATCAGCAGCATGACCCCATAATAATAAGCCATAAGTCATTAAGCTATGAAAGTAACTAAAATAAACAAGTCTAGCTGTATCGACATCAGTTAGTGAGCGAATTTTTTTAACCGCGTAGGCTGCAGAACTAAGTCTCTTCGCCAATCCGTTAATATGAGGGGACCACTGAAGTTTTGAATCCATGGTGATTCCGAGAAATACAGTTGTATCATCCAGATTCAATTCCTCACCGTTTATAATTGGTCTAGTATCCATAACCCTTGCATTTTTTGCACAAAATTTAATGCATTTTGTCTTTTTTGCATTAAGTAGAAGGTTATTCATACTAAACCAATGGACAATCGAAGATAGAGCATTGTTCACATCGTCAAAATTTGTTATTTGTCGTTTGATTTTAAAAATCAAGGACGTGTCATCAGCAAACAAAACTATCTGATGTTTTCTCTCTACATAAGTACACGCACCTTTTTTTTAAATTATAATAGTGAAGTACTATTATAATAAAAAATAAAAAAAAACATAGGTTATCCGTTTCGTGAACACTTCTTTCCTTTTCTGTTAAGCAGGTATAATATATCGACGTCAGTCGAAGTAAAAATATCTCTCATAAGACGGTTACAAAAAATAACTTTAATATATAAATACATTTATGTGTATATATACGTAGAAAAAGCTTTTAAGCAATCAATTTCCACAGACAACACATAACAACCAAAAGGAAATTAAAAGTTGTATTATTTACAGCACTATTTGTTTTAAATGGAAACACAACATGAAACATATCCCAAAATGTCATTCTTCTATGAAACGGTCGATATCCCACTACGAGGTTTCTGTTGATGTCCAGGTATCTGTGGGTCTCTGCTGTGGCAACCGGCCAGGTCACTGGAAGGAGCTCCGTCACTTCTGGCGTGGGGTTTCTGCAAAAACCAGTAAATTTAATTAATTACATTTAAAAACTATCACAGCCAATTTAAGGTGTTAAATATTATGACTCTCTCTACTCATTATATTCTTGAAGCCATGTTGTATGTTCAAAAAAATATAAATGATTTTTAAACAAATGGTGACTTTCACCAGTATAATACTCGAAACATAATTTATCTAAGCGTATGACCAACCTGGCTCCAGAAGTATTATTGTATTCGTATTGTACAACAAACTCTCAAGCGAAATTAGAGAATAACTGATTAATTTTAAAACTCTCGTTAAACGTAAATTAATCAATGAAGATTTTTATAAATTTGACGATTACTTAAATGATCCTAATCCTTGGGATTGATTTGTTCCAGTTCAAACAGTTTGTATGACTCAAAAGTTGGCGATTAAAAAGTGGCTGAGAGTTTCCCGCCCTTGACTTGCGAACTGGTAGTAAATTTTACATTTACTATCAATTATTAGAATCAATTTAATACTACTATGTTACTTTTCTGTTGACGTTCATAAGTGATCTTTTTAACCTATATGAATAAAAATATTTTGAGTTTAAGTTTGAGTCTGTTCCATAACTGCCAAAAATATTGCAAAATATCAGTCTAAGCCCAAATGGGAAATTTCAGATATACCTGATGAATCAATTATTGCAGTTCCATCTTTCTGTATTCAAACTCGAAATAATTGTTACTGATCTACTGAAAATCGAAGGTAAGACCACCGAGTCGACTAAATCATTATTATATACGTTGAATATAGTATGTTTATAAGAAAGAAAGAAAGATAATACTTTCCTCGTTCGACGATTAAGTATCGCAGGGAGCAAACTTTTTAAACTTGTTTTAATTTTCTATTTCTCAATTCTAAATAGATTATTGTATTAAGTTTAATGTGCTATATATTATTTCAGAGTCGATGCGGTCGTCTACATATTCCATAATGATTTTAAAGAAATAATAAGGATTTTATCGAAAATACAAAACATGTTCTATACGCACAAACATTAAGTAAAAATATAATTTTATATCGTAATTGTAAAAAGTGCACATCTATGATAATATTTCAATTAAAAATATCGTTATCATTTTAATACTGATAACACTAAGTATGTTGTTTTTAACTCACCCGTACTTCACGAAATTTGCCCACATTTCTGTCATCCTATCTACAATCACATAATCTTCTGCATTCCCTAATCCACTTAACTCGCCCATATCAAAGACATATCCTAATTCATCAGCATGGGCCGCTCCACCTTCAGTAATGTTCATTCTGACCTTCACCATATTTCTCCCTCCAGTGTATGAGAAAATGTAATAATAGACATTCTTACTGGAAACCAGGAATCGCTTAAGACTTCTATGACTTGGATGATTAAACGTTTGGTCGGAAGTGAAGTCAATCAGCTCTCGTCTAACATTCGAAGTTATTGATTGACCACCTATGTAAAATCGTCGAATATAGTTGTAAACCTCATCCTTGTCTTCAAGAAATTCTTCAGCGAAATTTCTAAAGGGATCCAAATTGGGAAAAGATTCTTCTGGCGTGTTAATAAAACTAGCTAACGATTCATCATCATTGAATCCGGTGATGATTGACATATTCTCAACTTTTGATAGCCTGTCTAATGTAAAAGGATGGACGAGCATGAATCCCTCTACACCACTAAATTTTCGTTCAACACAGCCAGACAACATTCCAAACGCTCTTGATGCACCAATTACTCTTTGTACATCTTGGCCTTTCAAAAAATCTAACGCAGTTTGAACGTTGTCCGTTGTTAACCCTAAAGATGTTGCTATCTTCAAAGGTATAGAATTATCTATTTCACCTATGGTCCATGTGCCAAAAATGGCTCCGCTTGACAAAATAGCCCTTTGGAATAGTTGCTCATTTTCGGAAGCCATATGGAACTCAACTGAAGCAGCACCGGCGCTCTCTCCATAAGCGGTGACATGGTTTGGATCACCACCGAACGATTCAATGTTTTCTCGGATCCATCTTAAAGCTATCGTCTGGTCTTTAAAACCCTGGTTCCCGGATATTCCAGGAATGTCTAAGCACAAAAATCCGAATGGTCCAAGTCGATAGTTTATTGATACTACAATTATGTTGTGGCGTACTAAATACTTCGGTCCTTGCTGTCGCTTAGTGCCATCACCAAAGGAAAAGCCCCCGCCATGTATCCAAACTAAAACTGGAAGTTTTCCAGTTGAATTGTTTGGTACGTAAACATTTAGATTGAGACAGTCGAGGGTCATAGTGCCTGATGCGTCACCGGCTTGAGGGCAGATTGCAGAATCATTGTTGGCTTCGAATATTTCAGTAAATCTTGGGTGAGGTTGAGCCGCCTATAAATGTTAAAGTTTCTCTTTATATTTTAATTAGTAAATAATCGTTTAAATTACAAAATTCATTTACATTTACAACATACATTCAATCAAAGAGGTGAAATGTTAAAATTGTTTCCCAGAGTCGTGCGGCGTTTTTAGAGAACTTACAAAAGGACAATACTATGTTAACCGCTATTAATCGTATTTTCATATACCAGGTGAGACAAAAGATTCACGGGGAGTAGAAACACATTATTATTTATTATTATTATGAGATATATTTATGAAAATATTATGTGTGTATACAAAAATAGTGATAAGTTTACTAGAATAGAACATACGCACAATGTTAATACACGGAACAAACGCAGGCTGCAATTTCCCCATCCTATACTATCTAAAGCTAGTAATTCTTTTTTGGGAAAAGGGATACTCTTCTTAAATAAAATCCCAGAGGCTCTTTTATCTCTGCTTTTTAATAAATTTAAGAAATGTATTAAAGAAAAGCTGTGTAAAAAGGCTTACTATAAAGTCAACGATTATCTAGTTGATAAAAGGGCCTGGGACTAGTGCTAGACAGGCTACTTCTAATTAATTTGCGATATTTGTTTTAAAATAAGTGTTGTTTGATGATTTGCTATTTTAAAAGAGTACCGAGAGTTCTTTACGCCGGCTTTTTCTTTGGGCCTACACCCTCTGTCTTCTTTGCCGATGAGTAGGGATGCCTACAAATTGAAATTTAATGACGTGGAATAAGTGATACATATGTTCCATAATAAACATATTTTATTTTATTTTTATTTTTTTATAAAGACACTTGCAATAAATTATACCTACTTGATTAATTATGATAAATATCTGGTGCCATGGATAAAACCTTAATATAAATATGTTTGTATAAATATTATTTAAAAAATGATTCTTAGCTGATTCTTTTGGAAATAGTTTGTTCTTATTATCATTATGAAAGCCTTTATTATCAGCGATCATGTGTATTATTTCGGACTTTGAGTACAATCACATTCTGGACCAAATTGTTCTTTTTCATGAAATATTACTTGCTGTTTCTAAATGAAATAGGCTTTTTGAGTCACTTGTTGCTATTTCATTCTAGCATATAAAAAATAACTCAGCATTACCTAAGTCTTATAAAGTATCTATTATAACATTCTGATAAACGCATCTTCAAACGAACCTATATTATTGCCTCTAACGGTAAACCAGGTCTAAAAGCAGAAAACTATAACTAGATTTTAAAAATAGATCTTAAAACTTACTCCAAAAGGGTTTTCGGGGTCCACCCGCCCATACGGTATACCCAGAAACATAGTGTAGTTTCCATCATCAGCGGGTATGCCCCGAAACTGACCCTGGGGGGCCTCCACCAGGAGGGGATCAGAGAAGACCCCCGGAACTAAGAGTACGAATATCCAAATCATAACTAACAATTTATCAGATAAAGTATCGTTAAATATGGTAGCGAGGTGTTTTACTTGGCACAGTCGGCGGCTTTAGTCGCGAAAGGAAATATTTATATTATAATTGAATATTTCAAAAAGTAATATAAAATTTGTATTATTTTTGCTCGGTGCTTTTTGTCTTTCCATCACAGGATAAACATAGTTGATATATAAGACTTTTATAAATATGGTCGCAAGAATGCTTGGTTCTTTGTTTATGTCTCATCATATCAACGTCTGATGAGACCATCATGACGATATCATTATACAACCGATATTCACCTCAAGCAATATCTATTTTCTATATATGGTGTTGGATATTATGTAAGTCTTTCGGCCCTACTCGGGAGTCGTACCGGAGACCTAATTCTGAGTTAGTACTCAAGTTTTTACGTGTGGTATAAAAATTATGATCATATAAATACTTATAATAAATGACATATACATATTTTAATTAAATATTTTCATCAGCTAAATATATAATATACAATATACAGATAGAGGATACACGAAGATAGAGGTAATTTTATAGATTAATAATAAAATTTGGTATATTATATTTCTTTTTTTTAATCTAATCAGATTAAGGAAATTATGTATGTGCAAACAATATACATACATAGGCAATCTACAAAAACATAAAGCGATTTGTGGTTCTTGATTGTCTTATTTTAAAATAAAGAAACCAAATATCAATGAATTGGCCATTTCTTTTATTACCTTAAGTTTTCATAAAAAAGAGATCGAAGCTGTACGGAAGAAATATCGACCGGGACAAGGTTTCACGGAACTACGCGCAGGATTGCGTCTGTCTGAGTAACTGTTTTAACTTTGTCATTTTATTAATTACATAGAGAAACATACAGAAAGCCAAGGCACAACAAAACTATATTAATCTTACTTTGTGACTGCTTTAAATGAAATAATAAATTTAATGTTAAAAACAAAAAGTTTAACAAAAGCTGTAAGTAACTTTTCCCGGATTAGAACCTTTTCCAGATCCCTTAATTTGTCTTAGTTTGACAGCTAAACGGCCCAATTTAGGTTCGGAGGAACGAACAGAACTGGCTTGTTTCGATGTCATGGTAAAAAGTGCCGTTCTGACCGCCAGAAGTCACTTAATAAATATAAATAATATTAGTAATATTATAATGACTATTGACTGTGTGTATTTGTTGTAATATGTGTTGTGCATAATTATTAAAACTAGTTGTAATATTACTAATAGATAAATAAGTACTAAGCAATTTTGTATTAACTTACGAAATGCTTTCTACCTGCACTAGGCCTGCAAACTCGTAACAGGCTTTGTTTGAGGACGGATATAGAAAATATATTAAATAATAATCAAAACAAAGGAATACATTAAAATATTTTATTGAAGTGAAAAAATTTTAAACTCGCGTCAGGACACGTGACCTGATCGAAAATTCGTAAGACGGATGGAGAGAAGACCGCTGGCGCGGCAGTATAATAAATTTTCAAGATAACAAACATTAGGTACGTAAATTTTTTTAAATACCATCTTATCTATATTACCTCACTACAGATATGTGTTAAAATCATAGACAAACTCGGTGTTACGTAATAACAAACGTCAAAGGCAACAACTAGTGGACTTTATATAATTACAAATTGCAAAATGACATTCAAAGATTATATTTATCGATTTAACGTGATTGATTGTTATTAATTAAACATGATAGAGAAGTATTTGCATTAAGATAAGCACACCGCAAGCGAACCGCAAGTATAAAGCGCGCATCGTAGTTAAACAATCCTAATTTATAGATATTATAAATGCGAAAGTAATTCTGTTCGTCTCATTTCACGATTAAACCGATTTTAATGAAATTTGGAAATAAGAATTATTATTGTTTACTTCTTGTATTTAGGCAAGAAGTAAATAAATATTGTTTTGTGTCTTTGAAATTTCGACTTAAATGGACATCAAATTAAAATTATGTTACTTACTATTAGAAATCACTTATGGGTATAAAACCTTACGACCTCTCAGACTTTCCGAGTCACAAAAATTTCATAAAAAATCGGTCTAGCAATTTCGAAGGTGTTTGGTTACACTGTGACACGAGATTTTTATGTATAGATAAAAGCTAACAACCATACACATACAACCCGATTTCCTATGGCTTATCTATTACTTAAGTAATAATTTTCAACTAATATTCCTACGGCGTTTCATATTTTGCCCTTATTGATGCAATTTAAATGTTCTTTTGGGAATAAGTAAGAGATAAGGGTAACTAGGACTTACACATCAAAATACGTGATGTTTCGATTGATGCAACTTTTGTAGATGTTTTTAATTAGTTCTTCTGTTACCAAAATGACGAAATTTTGGACGACAGCTATAGATTTCTTTTAAATAGACTCACTCTCCAATGGATTATCGTTTAGGAGCCTAAATAATGTAATCATCACCATATTAATTCCTTACTCTTATATGAATACGAGGTTTTATCGGTCGATTTGATAATCACGTATCAAAATATAAATAACATATGACAACCGGTTACAACGGCATTCAACATGGCCGAAACATCGGCAAATCAGCTGTTTTTTCACGTCTTCGTGAGAAATAACTACATTACGACAGATATTACTCTTTCTAGGTCCTTAAAATGGGTAGTTATTGTATTGTTTGCTTCAAAACAGGGATTTTTACAAAAGATTTGCTTTGTTGTTTACAAATGGCGGACATGACGCCCGGTTTTGGCGGCAATCAGCTGAGTCTACGTCACCCGTCGGACCGGTCCGCGCACCATGAAACCGATGAAGAAAGCTTTTGCGGTGCTATCGCTTAAATATCGCAATTTGATTTTGACAATAAGGCTATTTTACAACATATAACATACGCCATTATTTGTGACGACTTTGTGCGTATATGTGTTTACATAATTATACTTAAAGAGTCTCTCATGAAGTAATATCAATAGTTACGTAATATGTTAGGTTATTAAGCGGAATAAATGTGACCTTGATATTATTAGGGATTCTCCACTTAATTTTAGACAAATATACAAGCCATATATAGGCTTAGCTTTAATCAGATTTATATATTCAATAATTATCCACCTTCTCACTTATACCTGACTCCTGGCTCAAATAAATCAATAATGACAAACGATACTTAAACGATATAACAAAAACGCATTACTTAGTAAGGGGGTGCCTCAAGTACGGGCGGGCAAATCAGCTGAGCAGCTTTTTTTCGCTTTTTTTTGCGATTACCAAGGAACAGGTTTATAATGCCGCCACATACTTTGGGCCTGTTTTCTGGGAACGTTTTGGTCAATGTTTTTTTTAATCTCTGGCAGGTAGGTTGCCAGCATTGTATAGAAATGTCATTGTCTATGACCTCTAATGTGATTTCGTATGAATAATTAGGACGGACGTGCCCTAATAAAAGAGGCATTTTATTGGTTTCTATGGGAATAATACAAATACCAATGGGCGATCTATTTGGATTATATAATACACCAATACATATTCTGATGATTTGTAAAGATGTAAACGCCAGTTTATAACATTTAAATTACAACGTTTCGAATGTTTTCGGCGGCCAAGTTCAGCCAATTTTAGTTATATTTTGATTATTAATACTTAAACTACTGTATGTGTGGTATATTTCTATTAAATGTTACTAAGAAATTGCATCATACACTACGTGGCATACGTCTGAATTCCTATGAAGCGTCATCAGTTATTAATTCACCCAAAAATTCAAACGCATTCAATACTAGCTTTTTTGATTAATGTTATTAAAGAATATAACTCGTCGACGCGACGTCTGCCTAGAATTAACAATTAGGGAACAGCTTATTCATATAACAGTAACAAAACGAGCCGTAATTCGTATGAACGTTAGTAAAATTATTATGTAGAGTGCGGTCGCGAGATTGTCTTTAGCTTTGTAAAGGAAAATGCGTCATTGAGAAGAATTTTATTAGTATTGTCCTTTGTAATAAAAAAAAACATTTTTTTTTATTCAATAACAAACAAGTTAATTTTTTTGCAGATATTGGAGCCCCGAACTAAGTCTAGAGAAACCTATACATCAGGGTACTCCGCTCTTCCAATGATTTAATGAAATAGTAACTGAACAACCAATATTATAAAGAAAAACAGAAAGCTAAGACTAATTACAAAACTAAACTACAATTTTTTTTTAAAATAAGTACCTACCTATATATTTGACATGCTTTGATTCGCGGAGTCAGGGGAGTAAATATATCAAATACTAATTAACATAATTTAAATTACATAATATGGAGTTTTAGTTACATTACTATCATTATATATTTATTAATTTTATATTAGTAGATATTGCTTATCTGTAATTGGTCAAGAGACGCTGTTGCTTTTTTTTATGTAAGAGGAGGCAAACCTGATGTTAAGTGATTGTACACTCACATTGCCAGAAGGCTCGCAAGCGCGATGCCGGCTTTTTAAGAATTGGTACGCTCTTTTCTTGAAGGACTCTAAGTCGAATTGGTTCGGAAACATACGTGTTCTCTCGTTGAAGGACTCTTTCATTTTTTTTCACAGCTTGGGATCCAGCTGATGCGATGGTAGCACCACATACAAACGCTTCGTGGCGTCTTCTTTAATACAAACGCATAATCTATGCAAACATACGCAAAATTAAACACACATTTAAATTTAAGTATTATTTATACATGTTTTAAAGTTCACTTAAATTTACCCGAAATTACATTCTTAAAATTCTGTGAATTTAAAACAAAAGGCCCGGACATCTGTGGGGTACGGAACTTCCCGCCAAGCCGAATGTCATCCACAGTTTAAAGAACCCAGCTTCATGTGGAGTAAGCTTTAATGTAGCTTTAATGTATTACCACGTAGTCCACCAACACCATGCGAACTTCTTTTCGCTTTATAATTTTTTTAGTTAGCCAAGCTTTTTTACAAACCAACACAAGGATCATTTTGCAAAGACT